TGTGCCCACTCCCCACCTCCTCGTATTCCTGCATCCAAGCTGGGAGCTGGGGAGGACCTCATCAGCAAAGACATGTCACTGTGCACTTTGTCTGGCTGCGGAGACGCCTCCAGGAGCTGTGCCCCAGGACTGGCAGGGGCTTGGGCTGCCTTAGCTGGGGTACCCAAGCCATTTCTCAGGTCCAGGAGTCCGTTTGCATGGCTGAGAAACAGCCAGGAGGAAAATGGGATTTTTTGCTTCTAAACAGAAGCAAGCACATGTGCAGCTGGTACTGAGCTGATGCACCAGGAAGCCCAGATGCAGCACTGCCTGAATGCCAGTCAGGGTGATCTGCTCTCAGATTTCCCAGCCATCTCCCTCTCGCTCACCTCTCTGCCTTGTGTTCACAGTCACGGCCAAGATAGACGCCAGGACTGGGATTGATTACTCCTTTGTGGCACCCCCACTTGCTACTGCCCAGTCCCTGGACACAGGCCTGAAGGTGAGAGGCTGCCCTGGGGACACTTGATTTGGCCGATGCTGTTGCCACAGGCGGGTGGGTAATGAGGTTTCGGTACCTGCTGCAAACATTGTTTGCCAGCCCGGGTCAGCAGCTGAGCCCCACCACTATTTACCCTCCTTCTCCAACTCTCTCCCTTCTCCCAGGGTGAATTCTACTCCCTGGCCCACCGTTCCACTGTCCCCTTCTCACCACTGCCGCTGTCCTTGCCCTCGGATCACGATCGCATGGTTTACTTCGGGGCCTCCAGCTACTTCTTCAACACAGCCAGCTTCGCCTACCACACGTCCGGGGCACTGGTCTTCGAAATCACGGATGCCATGGTGAGTGGTGCAGGAGGGATAGGGCTGGCCCCAAGCCCCTGGCAGGGATTCCATTTGCTGAGGAGCTCTGGTGGCAGCCAGAGGTCTTGGAGGACCCCCAGTGGAAGAGCTGGGGCTGTGGGATGAGGCCGGGCTGTTGAGCACGGCAGCGCGTGGGGACGGGTGGGCTTGCCAGGGGCTCTGCTGTGCCACATTGCCCCAGCGTGACAGTCTCTCCCTGCAGATCCCGAAGGATGTTGATTTCCACTTGAACACCTCCACCTTCTCAGCCTTTGTTCCTCAGGTGAGCAGTCCAGCCCTGCCTCCCCAGAGCACCTGTACACAGAGGTGTTCTCCCCCAGCAGCTCACGTTTGTGCCACTGTCCCCACTCTCTCCCTGCTTCCATGCAGCTGGAGCAGATGTACCCAAACATGCCAATGAAGCTCAGGCTGTCCACCCCCACTGCCCCGTTCCTGAATGTTGGACCAGGAGGAATATCACTCAAGCCCGTTGTGGATGTCCAGGCTTATGCCATCCTTCCCAACTCCAGCCTGGCTCCTCTCTTCGTCCTCAGCCTGGTGAGTTCATGAACAACCTGCAAATAGTGAGGTAAAGACAGAGTTTGAGTTGTGCTCAGTTCTGTTGCCCAGCTCCTGCCAGGGGAGGTGCCATGTGCTGTCCAGTGCAGTGGGGGTCCCCAACAGAAAAATACCCAAACTGACAAATGCCACATTTAATGCTGGGTGCAAACATGCCCCCGGATGGGCAGCGGTCCCGCTGTGTTTCAGCTGGTCAGAGCTGTTTCCTGGGTGTCTGGTTTGGGGTGAGGTGGGATGGTCACTGCTGGAGCTCTGTGCTCTCTCCCCAGACAGGGAACGTGTCTGCTGTCATCGACGTGAGGTCTGGCCACATAGTTGGGAGCCTGAATGTGGGCAGGTACAGAGGGGAGCGGCCACTGCTGGGCAGGGGGTGACTGGGGGTGTTTCTGTTCTGGGCTCCCAGGGACAGAGAGTGGGTTGGGGAGGTCCCAGGGATGTGAACCTGGTGTGGAGGGAATGAGCTGAGGCTGGAGGGAGCAGGATCTGCATGGCCATCAGTGGGTGGAACTGCTCCCTCCACTGGGACATCCCTGCTCCCTCCTCTGGGACATCCTCCACAGCACCAATTCTGTCCCTGTGCAGGATCAAGCTCTCTCTAAAGGACTCTGTTGTCGGCACTTTCCAGGTAAGTTATCCTTGAGCATGACCAGAGCCCCCAGTATGGAGTTGAGAGCCTGCTAGGGGCCAAGGAGAGAGCTCATTGCCCCTGCCCCACAACACGGGACCTGGGGGTGCACTCAGGACCCCACACTGTTCCTGCCTCAGCCTGCAAGGCTGGGAGAGGATGCAGAGCCAGATCCATTGCTGCTCTCACCCCCGCACTTCCTACCCTGCCAGTGTGGCCAGACAAGGCTGCTGGTCTCTGGCAAAGTGTGTGCTCATCCCGACTCCTCATCCCTTTTTCTTTTCCTAATTATCCTCCAGTGCTTGCACATCTCTTGTCCTGCAGGCTAAAGCTTTTCCTCCCCCTCTCCTCGCTCCCCAGGTGCGACTGCTGCAGTCCATAATGAACATCTTTGCTTCCGATATCCTGCTCCCCCGTCTTAATGGTAAGAACCTGCTGGGGGGAATGGGGGTGCTGGAGCAGCCTCCAGTCCGGTTGCTCCATTCAAGCGGTCCCAGCTCACTAATTAAATCCCTGTTGCCAAGGCTGATCCAGGGGTAAAGCCCACAGAGCGTGCAGGAGGTGGCTGTGAAGCAGCGGGATCCTCTTGCCACTGTGACATGCTCCCAGCAGCACACGCAATGGAAAAAATGAGCCCTATGCATATCTTAATGCTTTCCAGACCCTCTCCCCCACTCCCTGTTTCTCCTGCCTCTCCAGCAATTCGGACCAGAGCGGGGCTGGCGGCTGGAGGGGCCCAGGGGGCTGTCATGGCACAACACACAGCCCCCAGCCCTGCCGTGGAGCTTGGGAGGAATTTCCTTTGCCTGCCCTGCGAGCAGCAGAGGCAAGGAAGGGGCTGGGGGAGGAGGTGGCTGCCTTCTCTTCACGGCCAGTGCTCCCTTCACTCCCCTTCCCATCCCAATGCAGCTATGTGTTGTCTTTTCCAGCCCGGTTAGATGAGGGTTTCCCTCTGCCACTGCCCGACAGGATACGGCTCCTCAATACCTTCGTAAGGTTCCACCAGGTGAGTGAGGGGGAGCACCTGGGCCCAGCTGGGGACCATCCTGCCACCCCTGAGCCCCTGCCAGCCATCACAGCCTCCAAATCCAGTTCCCACAGCCATGCTGGGAGGGAGCAGGCAGGAGGGTGATCCCAACAGCCCAGTGGCAAACCAGAGCCACGCTTTTTCCATCTGCACGGTGGATGCCTGGGCCAGCACCACATCCTTGTCCAGTTCTTGAACCCGGGGTTTCAATTTCCCACGACACTTTTTATAGCATCTTTAGCAGCAGTGTCAGCCCCCAGCCCCCTCCCTGCCCCATGAGCAATGTCTGTTGGGATGCTGTGAGGTGGGACACAGCTGCTCCCTGCAGGGCATGGGAGCCTGTCAGCCCCTGTGGAAGGAGCTGTGCCGGGTCCTGGGGAGCGGAGAGAGCCCCTGTGGTGGGGAGCCTTAGGGAGACCCCAGAGGGGTGTCACCACAGTGGCTGTGAAATGCCTCCAGAGCCTGCCAGGGTGAAAATTAGGCACAGGGGCTGGCAGAGCCATGTGCCAATCCCGTCTCTCTCCTGGAGTATGATGGGTGCTGGGGAGTACAGCTGCCAGGGCTGGTGTCAGTCCAGCACTTTCTCTCTTTTTCCCAGAATTTCCTGCTGCTCGGAGCAGACGTTCATTTCCAACCTAAGGCATGAAGAGAAGGCCATGAGGGAACTCCAGCACCGAAAATACCCCCTTGACTCCTTCACCTTTCCCTGCCCCTGGCCCTGCTGCAGGAGACAAGCACCACTGATCCTGCCAGTGTCCTGCATCACTGCCCTGGCCTGGACTGTGGCCAGGGGCAGCAGCACCCCCAGGGCTGAACCCCCCGTCCCCTCACTGGGGCCTTACCCAGTGCTACTGAGAGCTGAGGGTCCCTTACCCCCAGCCATCCCCTCCCCTCCCTCCCTCCTCATCCCAGGGCCTCTCAGCAGCAATAAAGGCGCTGGCGCCGGGGCCGTGGTGTCAATGTCACTGTCTGTGCTCGGGGCCACAACGGGCTCTCTGCACTGGGCCAGGCGGGAGTGGGAGTGGGAGCGGGACCACTGGGCTCATCTGTTCCCATTGTCACAACCGTGTTGAGGCCCCATGGAATGCCTGTGTCCTGCCATCCTGTCCCTTTGCTACAGTGAAGATCCAGCGGAGAAGGACCTGAGGGTGCTGATCAACAGCAGCTGAACATGAGCCAGTGTGTGCCCAGACAGCCAAGGCCAGTGGCATTTTGGCTTGTATCAGGAATAGTGTGGCCAGCAGGACCAGGGCAGTGATTGCCTCCCTGTAGTGGGCACTGGTGAGGCCACACCTCGAGTGCAGTGTCCAGCCCCTCATTTCAAGAAGGACATTGAGGGGCTGGAGCATGTCCAGAGAAGAGCAATGGAGCTGGTGAAGGGTCTGGAGCACAGGTGCTGTGAGGAGTAGCTGAGGCAACTAGAGGGGGTTAGCCTGGAGAAAAGGAGGCTCAGGAGAGACCTTCTCACCCTCTACAGCTCCCTGAAAGGAGGTCATAGCCAGGTGGGGATAGACCCTTTCTCCCAGTCAAGCAGCAATAGGATGAGAAGACCTAGTCTTAAGCTGCTCCAAGGGAGGTTTAGGTTGGACATCGGGAAGAATTTCTTTGCAGAAAGGGTGATTACATATTGGAATGGGCTGCCCATGGAGGTGATGGAGTCACGAGTCTGGAGCGCTTAAGAAAAGACTGGACATGGCACTCAGTGCCACATGGTGGTGTTCCGTCATAGGTTGGACTTGATGATCTCAGATGATCTCGATGACCTTTTCCAACCTAAATCATTCCGTAATTCCGCGATTTCCGTGGCGGCGCCGCGCAGCAGCGGGGCGGGCCCGGAACGGCGGCGGGGCGGAACGCGGCGCCGAGGGGCGGGGAGCGGCGGCCGGGCCGCTTTGTCGGCCCACCCGGCCGGTCCGTCCCCCAAAGCGCCCCCCCAGCCGCGGCCATGCTGCCCGGGACTCGAGCGCTGCGGGCGGCGGGGCTGCTGCGCCCGCCCAGGGCCGGGCCCCGCACCGGGGCCGCCCGCAGAGCGCACTGCGGGCCGGGACAGCGGCCGGAGGGGCGCGGGGCCGCGCTGCCCGCGGGGCCCGACCTGCGGCACTTTCTGAGGGCAGCGGCCATGAGGGAGACGGGGCCACCGCCCGAGACGGGCTCTGCCCCTGGGGCCCCGAAAGGTCTGTGGGTCTGCAGGTCCGCGGGGTTCGTGGGGTCAGCCGAGCGGGGGGGAAGCCGGTTGTTTGGGAGCTTTTGGGGCCCTGAGGGAGTTTTGGCACTAGAAGGAATTTAGTCCTTGGCTCCGCACTGGTGTGTCTCCCCCGCCGTGGAGCTGGGCAGGGAGTGGGTTGTGTGCCCCCCGTCACGGATCTGGGCGGGGAGCAGGCTCTGTGTGTGTGTCCCCACCACGGAGCTGGGCAGGGAGGGCGTTCCTCTGGCACCTGCCCGCGGTGTGCGCTGGGCTGTCAGCGGGGCTGTGGCAGAGCCCTGGCTGCGGCGCCCTGGGGAGGGGACGGTTTTCATTGCACTGAGAGTTGTATCTCAGTAAGGACACAGCAGTTCCACGGCCCAGACCTGTCGCGTTGCAGAGACATGCTCTGAGCACATGGGCTTCCTGGAGTGTGTCCTTCAGTTATCCTTTGTGGGCTGCAGGTGAAGGCAACTGCTTCTCTAACTCCAGTGGTGGGATTGAAGGCTTCTTCCTATAGAGAAGGTCACAGAACAGGCTGTGGATGGGAGCTGAGCAGGTCCCTGCCTGTGTTGCAGTTTACCTGGAGACCTACGGCTGCCAGATGAACGTCAACGACACGGAGATCGCCTGGGCCATCCTGCAGAGGAATGGCTATGCCAGGACAAAGGAGCTGGATGAGGTAAGGCAGCACCTTGGCAACTCTCCTGGAGCGCAGGGCTGCGGGGGCCTCGTGCCCTGGCTGTGCCTGCAAGTCCCAGCTTTCCTCTGGAGTGCAGTCCTGCAGGATGTTGTGATTTTTGCAGTCTGAGTTCTGCGGAGTGGAGGAAACTACCTAACAAGTGTGGTAGAAAGCTGTGGGTTGTCTTTTTTCTTTAAACTGCTGGGCTCCCTCTCAGTTGGAGAGGGATTGGACACAGCAGGGTCCTCCTGACTCATCTTTGAGTTTAATTCTGTCATTTAGTGGAAGACTCTACTTGTCTTCTCTTACTTTCTTGCACCTCTGTTTGTTGAAACCCACTGTGTGCTCAGGTAGGTCTTTTTCCCTGACTTAAGTGAGTTTTATAGTCTGCCTCTTCAGGTTACCCAGGCAGGGCATGAGAAACTTATCATTTGGCTTTTATGAATTCTTCCTTTTTTGTTGCTTTCAATTTAGGCAGATGTGGTTCTCCTTGTCACCTGTTCCGTGAGGTAAGGAAACTTTTATCACTGCTGGTTTTGGACAGTTTTTAAGGAATTTCCATTTGAAAACCAAAGCAATACATGTGTTGTGTGAGGAAAAGAGTGTGCAGGTGTGAAAGTGACTATTTAGTTGAGGGTAGAGCTGGCTGATGCCATGATTTACAACATTATTTGTGCTATAAATTGCTTTTTTATGTAGTGAGAAGTGTTTGGTAGTGCAAGCTCTGTGTATATGCCATGAGCAGTGAGAGACCTGCACAGTCAGTGCTTTAATGATTTTATTTTTTAATACTCTGTTTTCTCTTGAAGTGGGTGTTTAGTACAGGGTGTCTAGTACTTCAGAAGTGTGAGAAATATAGTTAAGGTCAATTTGATATAAATACAAAGGGAACTTTGCTTGGTTTTTTTTGAATGGGGAAGATCCTGAATGCTCATTGTCACTTGCAGTGTAGCTCATACTGTGGCTACGGTACTTTTTCTCCCCAAGAGCTTAGTCTGTTTTTTCTGCAGCATAGATGCTTCCAAGCAAGTAAAGTGATAATAGATAAGATAGAGTTAAGACATAATCCCCACAACACAAATGGCTTGCCATCGGGTCCATCAGGTGGATGATTCCCTCCCTTTAGCTGAATTCTCAGAAAGTGCTTCAGGCTGGGGCAATTTTAAAGTGCAACAGCTAGAACAACCAGTTTTCCTGGCTCCCCAGGGAGAAGGCAGAGCAGGCCATCTGGAACCGGCTGCAGCACCTCAAGGCGCTGAAGGCCCGTCGGCAGCAGGCTCGTGCACCCCTGCGCATCGGGATCCTGGGTACCACCAGACTGCATTCACTGTTCCCCTCTGGCTGCACCCGCCTTTTCCGTGGGGTGGAAGCAGCTGGGAAGGGCTGTGGAGCTGTAACAGGTGGTGGGCACTGCCTCACAAGGACCGTTCTCCTTTTGTTGCAGGATGCATGGCTGAGAGGCTTAAGGAGGAGATTCTGCACAGGGAGAAGCTGGTCGATGTCGTGGCAGGCCCTGATGCCTATCGCGACCTACCCCGGCTGCTGGCTGTGGCAGAGTCTGGCCAGCAAGCTGCCAATGTCCTGCTGTCCCTAGATGAGACTTATGCAGACATTCTGCCTGTCCAGACTAGTGCAGGTGGCACGACAGCGTTTGTGTAAGTACCTTCTCCCAGTGCTTGTTTCTGTGGCTCTGGTTTGGAAATCTGCTGTGCAGAGCAGACGTGCCGGTGACAGCAGCGGCCAGGAGATGCAGTGCCTGGCTGCACTCGCTCCCGGCAGCCCAGAGACATGAATTTACCAGAATGTGTGTTTGCTGCTGCTTCACTGTGTGACTGAGTCCTGGAGAGCCTACCCCAAGCTCTGGCTGTCATGGACTTCTCTCCCTCACCTTTGGGAATGCTGGCTGCCTCAGCCTGATGCTGTGCTGAGTGATTTCTGTCCCACTGACGTCTGTGCCTCTCTCATCCCCTGCTTTCTGTGATGCTCTGCCCTACATTCTGTTATTTATTCTTCTAGTCCCCCACACATTGTAACTTCTGTTGATTTTATTTCTGTTTGTTTAGTTTTGATAATAACACTCCCAAACATGAAACCTCACTCTGCTCTGTGTGGCCATAGCATATGGCAGTATTGCTCTCTGCAGGAGAGTGGGAAGGACCTTTGGTCACTGCCAGGCTGCAGTGGAAGTCTGTGCCTTGTTCTTTTCAACTTTCTTGGGAATGTGCACAAAGAATCAGGAGGTGTTAGCTCAGGGCAAGCCAAAGGCAGGGTGGGTGGAGGAGAGTGTGAGGTAAACTGCAGAGCTGCGCCCAGAGCTGGTCTGTGTGCAGAGCTGGCTGGAGGCAGCAGTGCTGGGCACAAAGCAGGGCAGGATGCAGCATGGATGGTTCTTGCAGAGCAGTCGTGGTGTGACCTGTGCTTTACGTCTGGGCAGGTCCATCATGCGGGGCTGTGACAACATGTGCACCTATTGCATCGTGCCCTTCACCCGAGGCCGGGAAAGGAGCCGCCCCATCGCATCCATCCTGCAGGAAGTGAGGATGCTCTCGGATCAGGTGAGGCAGAGCCTCCTCCCACCTGTCCCAAGCCATGGGAGGAAGGGTGGGTTTTGGTAGCAGTGTTTTCAGTGATACATTTAACCATCTCTGCCTTTATCTGTGGAGGTAAGGTTACTCTGGGGTTCCACCACTGGTTTTTTGATTCCTCTTGTAATACTCCATGATAGACAGGGAAAGGAGGGCTTCCTTGGAAAATCCTTCGAGTAAAACCATGGCTGCCCTTGCAGCTTGTCCATCCTGCTCAGGTTATATTTTTTCTTCTCTTGTTTATTTTGTAGGGAGTGAAAGAAGTGACCCTCTTGGGTCAGAACGTCAACAGCTATAGAGACCTGTCTGAGGTGCAGTTCCAGTCAGCAGCTGCCCCGGGCCTCAGCCGTGGCTTTAGCACAGTCTACAAAGCCAAACAGGGAGGTTTGCGCTTTGCACACCTGCTGGACCAGGTCTCTAGGATTGATCCAGAAATGAGGATCCGTTTCACCTCTCCACACCCCAAGGATTTTCCTGATGAGGCAAGTGTAAAATAAACACCTGGACCTCTGCTTGCAGGCAGGGAGGCAGCTCTAAATTGTGAGATGTGGACTGTGCTGTCTTCCCAAAGGGAACGTGGAATCCCAGACTGGAAACAGCAGCTCCTGGGACAGGGATGTTGGGGCTGAAGCTTGCAGATTTGCAGCTTGCTGGCTTTTACCCAGGCATTCTTGGGACCCTGGTAGAGTTGAGCCATCTGGGACATTTCCTGGTCACTTATCACAGGTCCTGCAGCTCATCCAGGAACGACACAACATCTGCAAACAGCTGCACCTCCCAGCCCAGAGTGGGAGCACACGAGTGCTGGAGGCCATGCGGCGAGGGTGGGTCACCCCGCAGGGAGCCCTGTGCCCTGCCCTCTGATTTGGGGTGCTGGTTTCTCCTCACCAATTCGTGGGTTTCCAGTGAGCAAATCCATGTGCTGTTCATTGCAGATACACAAGAGAAGCGTATTTAGATCTTGTGCACCACGTGCGTGACTCCATCCCAGGTGGGCATTCCCTTTGGCTTCATCTGAGCTCAGCACAGCTGTATCTCACTGTCCTTTCCTGAATGAAGCATTCCCCTCTTCCATGAGGGAAGTGTACAGCCGTGTCTCTTACAGGAGTGAGCTTAAGCAGCGATTTCATCGCTGGGTTCTGTGGGGAGACAGAGGAAGATCACCAGCAGACCATGTCCTTGCTGAGGGAAGTCCGCTACAACATTGGCTTCCTGTTTGCCTACAGCATGAGACAGGTGAGTGCAGGACCTGGTGGAGAAGTCTATTATCTCTGGACATCTCACCTAACTACTCAGTGCTATTTCTCACAATAACACAGTTTTTGAAAGCTATTGAAAATCATACCCAAAGACTTGGTATAGTGGTAGATTTTTTTTTGTCGCAGGCAGGACTTGTAGGGTGTGTGGTTCTGCAAGGGCTGTTGTTGTGCCTGGGAGGCTTCCAGCTCCTCTGTGGAGTGTCAGGGTTGGTTACTGCTTGGTGACCTGGCTCTGCAGATGCTCCAGAGCGATTGCAGGGAAGCAACTCTGTCTGCAGAGACCCCGCTGCTGGTGCTTTATTTGCTCATGAGGACTGTGCTGAGGGAGCTGGGCTGGAGCCTAGCTATAGGGACTGTCAGTTGAGTTAGAAGGTATTTCCATGAGAAGAGTGGATAGTTGATAAATCCCCATTAGAATGCTCTCCAGGGTATATGATGCTGACGGGGAAGAGGACAGGAGGTTGGGAAACATAAGGAAGCAAAGGAATACAGAGCACGTTTCAGCACATGGGACTAGAACTAGAAGAATCCATTGCCTGTCCTTGTGGACAGACAGGCACAGGCACATCCCACACAGGAGCTGCAAAACTGTTTCACAGCCACTGATACTCAGTGCCCTACATCAAACCTTCTGCCTAAAAGGTGGAGCAGAAAGATGTGAGGAACTTGAGGACGCGGCTGGTGCTGAGCACCCGGAATAATTCCTTTGTGAATAAGAATTTAAGCACGTGGGAAGCCGTTGCTGGAAGAGCATCAGAGCTGGCTGGGGTCAGACAAAGCTCTGAGCTCAGGATGGGTGTTGAGGGGCCGCACTGGCTTGGTGTGTTTGCAGAAGACCCGGGCGTATCACCGGCTGCAGGACGATGTGCCCGCGGACGTGAAGAGGCGGCGGCTGGAGGAGCTCATCGCCGCCTTCCGAGAGGAGGCTGCCAGGGCCAACGTGGCGCTGGTGGGGCAGGACCAGCTGGTGCTGGTCGAGGGGGTGAGTGCCTGAAACCAAGTTGTCCTCTTCCCCTCTTGCTGGCCCTGTGCAGAGCAGTCACCACTTCTGCCCTCCCTTCTCACTTTCCCCATGTAATCCCAGGACTCCCCAAGAGTGTTTCTTCACCCTTAAGCAGACAGCTTGGTTTTTCCAGAGCGCTGAGCTGAGCACAAAGGATGGGATCAGTTAGGGATGTGTCTCTGGCCAAGCACAGAATTAGTGCTTTTGGTGTGTGTGTCACCCAGGAGCTCTGGCCACAGGGCTCTGTTCCAGGGGTTGCTTAACAGCATGGAATGTGGGTTTAACACTGTCAATAGCGCTCAATTAATTCCCGAAGCAATAAAGCCCAGCAGTGAATCAGAGTGATTGCCATGCAGGTAATGTTCCCTGTCCTCCTTCCAGCCCAGCAAGCGCTCTGCCTCGGAGCTGTGTGGGAGGAACGACGGCAACATCAAGGTGATCTTCCCTGATGCCGAGCTGGAGGATGCTGCGGACTGCGGGGCTCCGGGCAGAGCCCGGCCGGGGGACTACGTGGTGGTGAAGGTGACCTGCCTGCAGTGCTGTTCTCTAGAGCAGCTGCTGCCAGAAGAGCCTAAAATTAGAGTGGATCCTCCCCAGCCTTTCCATACCTGAAGACCTGTGTTGTTTCTTTCAGGTGACCTCTGCCAGCTCACAGACCCTGAGGGGAGTTCCACTCTGCCGGACAACCCTGTCCCGTGCTGCTGCCTGTCTCTGAGGGTCCCTGCTGCCCGTGGATGGAAGCAGCACATTTTCTCCAGGAAAAAACAAGAAAGTGTTGTCAGGTGGAGATGTATGTATATTAAAATTTATTTGTGAAATAATAAAATACATATATATTTCTGCTTTGGCTACAACGTACCCCTCGTAGATGCGTGCAAGTTCATAGGCAAAAGGAGTGGAAGGTGTGTGTGAACTTGCCAAACACAATTCCTGTGAGATCGTGTGTTTTGACTTGATCTGAGGCTTGGCCCACCCTGGCAGTGCTGCAGGTCTGTCCTCTGACTGCGACCACATCTTCTAACACAGCCCAGCCTGAGAGATGCCTGTGCAGAGCAGGTCCTTCCTACAAGCTCAGCTGAATATAGGAGCTGCAAAAGCTGGTAGTGCCTGAAAAATAGAGCTCCATTTAGCTGCTGGAGAATGGTAGGGGTACTGCCAAGGGGGACAAAGAACTGAAAGAAGAGGAGAACATTGATGAATATTTTCCAAATATTGGCAAAATGCTTGGAAAGTGGAGGCAAGAACTCGCACCGTGTTCGTGTGTTGGAATGTCACGGTGGACTGTGGAATGTAAAATGGTGTTTAGCGTGCACCAGTGAATCTGTTGTGTCTAAGGGTGAGGGAGTGCAGCCTTGCCCTCCTACTGGGGAAGATTGGATCTCAGCTACAGAGGTTTTCCTTATCTCCAGGCCTGGGGGATGCCTGGTAAGATCTGGCTACCAGCCAAGGGTCAGCTCTGGCCTCTTAAAACTTGGGGTGCAGCTTTGTAATCCAAACATGCCTTTGCTCACTGAAGAAGTGGTTGTACTGATTTAAATGGCCAGTAAGTTCTATAAGTGCCTCTGACAGTTCCTTGTTTTCATCAGCCTGCAGCTGACCCCAGCTGCACCGTGTCACATTCCAGCCTGCTCTGCAAAATTCAAACAAGGACCTGTGACCTGCACTTATGAGTAAACTGAGATGTGAGAAAGGATCACCCCCTTTCATACAGATAATCATGTCATTAGAAAAAAATCTTGTAAAAGGCTCTATCCAGTGACCAGTTTTGAAGGAACAGCTGGTAACAGAGCAGTCTTACGTGACTTTGCAGAATTTTTAAATAAACATGAAAGGGTTTTGCTCGAAAGCCTTCTCTCCTGCTCAGCTCTTTCTGGGCTATAATTGTATCTCTTTGAAAACAGCATGGTTCACTGAATATTCATTAGACTTCAAGAAACAAATACATTTTGCTTATTATCTCAGTGCTGAGTTCCTTTTCCTAGAAGTGAATCTGCACAGTCAGCATGGTCCCTGAGGGCTCTGAGGTGCTGACAGGCACATGGGAAGGTGTCTTCTGCCCAAGTTCACAAACCAGGGCCTGGTCCTCTGCTGCCCAGTGCGGGTGAACCTTTGGCATGGAAGGTTTTTCAGGAAGAGGCAGCAGTTTCGGTTGAAATCCCAAAGGCAGCAGCAGGATGTATAAGCATCACCCCTCAGAAGCGACCCATGCTGAGGCCAAGGTTTGTGTGGCTAATTAACCCTGCCAGGTAGTGGCCCAGTTTAACTGCCCTGTGGCAGCTCTTCAGCTCATGTTTCCCGGGCATTTTGGGACCGTGGCCCAAGCCAGCACCCCTGCAAAAGGGCTGTCACTCACCTTTCCCTGCTTGTTTTGACCTTCTCCCCACGAGCACCTCTTTCAAGTGGGAAATGCAGACCACGGTGTGCCCTCCCCCCTCCATCCTGCTATGAGGCCATCTGCAACCGTTTTACAATCATTATTTTAAGAGCGGGAGACTAATGAGGAGGAGAGCTGGGTTTTACATTTTGATGAGGAGGTGATAATGCTCAGTGCACGGCCTCCCCAGGGAGCCATAGCACTCACCATTTGCTTTGCCTTTTTAGTTTTTATAGGCCTCGGGAATGAAGACTGAGGTTTTAAGGCAGCAAAGCATCCATTAGGAAGTGCTTACGGTGACCTTGGAGACTGAGTCAGTTCTTTGGCGCTGCCTGAAAGCAGGAATGTGTTGTTTTTCTTGAAGGCTGGAGGTAGGATGCAGTTTCTGTGTCTCTTGTCAGATTTGCTCCCTGAATCCGGCTGTTGGGAAAGCTGAGCTCGCACCTCGTGCTGATTCTTGCGCGTTTCTGTTCCCAAGGGACGAGAGCCCTGAACTCCCCTGGACCTCACATTTCCCACGCTGATGTTCACCTGTGCCTTCTGCAGGTGCAAGTGTTGCCTTCCCAGCCAGTCGTGCCCTGGTTACACCCATGGGCAAACACCTAAGGAGGCATTTGGTGGATCAGGTTTCCCAGCACAGACCTGAAGTGCTGGGATGACATTTACTTTCCAAGCAGACGTGCCCTGAGGCACCTCCTGACACTGGGATTTCGTAAGGCACAGCCTGTGCTTTCCTTTATGCTGGCGGGGTGTGTAGGCAAGGCTGGACATCCCCCTCACACAAAAATAGCTTCACCTGGCAGAAAGGTCGCTGTCAGGGAGAAAAAGAGCCTGTTTGTTCCCCGGAGCCCCCTCACAGAACGAATCTCTTTGTGCTCGGGGAGCGGAGGCACAAACTGCAGTAGGCACTCGCAGCCTGTCTTCACTGCTCATCACTGGAATTTTTGGCCCAAGGACAGTCTCAAAACTGATGCCCATCGTTGCCTACACGCCCCTGCCCAACCTTCTTCCTTTCTCTAAGGCTCTCAAAGCAGCTTGGGCAGAGCACTGGGCTTTTCCCAGCGTCAGAGCTGGCCAGGGTGTGTCACGTCCTTCCCCAGAACCCCCAGAGCTCTGTAGTCTGTTTTCCCTCTTCATGTCATGGTGACGGTGGAGGGAAGGACGGGTGTTTTCCCTGATGGCAGCCTTGCAAGCACAGTTTGCTTCAGGTCGGCCACAGCCTCGCTCTGCTGTGGCAGGTGACAAGGAATTGCCTCTGAGCGATGCCAGCAGCCTGCCAGGCAGTGCCGGAGGGAATGCTTTCCTCCACTTCTCTCATGGGTTTTCATTTCAGCAGACAGGCTCCATGTGCCTTCCAGCCCATTCCCCCAGGCCTCCTCCTCCTCCTCCTCCTTGCTGCACCACGAATGTTTGTGGGCTGGGGATCCAGAGAGGTTTCCTTCGGTGGCTTTTCATCACCATTTCTGAAGCCAGCTCTTGGCACAGAGCTTAGGGATTTAATGCAACATAAAGAGCTTTCAAAAATGTTTTCCAGTTCTAGAATCAGATCTGTCTTTAGTTCACTCCATTCTGGAACTGGCAGCAGTTGGGTTCCAGCAGGACAGGTACAGCTGCTCCTACAGGTTCCTCTACAGCCAACAGCAAACTCCGTGCTCTGCTGGAAATGCGTCAGGCTCTCCATTGCCACTGCCTGATGCACTCCTAGACCAGCCCCAGGCTGCCCTGCAGCCCCCCCAGGGTGGCATTGTCATCTGTCCCCAGACTCCTTCCATGTGCCTGCGCCTTCCTGGAGCACTGTGGGGCTGTGACCTGCATGGCAATGACAGAGGCACCAGTGGTGAGTGGCTGCTCTGAGTCCTTGGGGTTTGTGAATTCAGAGGCTATCTCACAGTCTGTCACAGGCTCTGCTACTCTCTAGGGCCTGGGAGTCCTGTGGCTTTCCCTCCTCCCTTGTGAGCAATTTATTTCCTTTACTGACAGGCAGCTATTGACTTCTCATTCTCCTGAAGATGAGATGTCTTGTCTCATCAGGTTTAAATTAGTTTTATCTTTAGCCTTTCCTATTAATAGGCTCTCATCGTGGTGTCATTACTTGATATCTATTTTCTGATGTTTTTCATTAATGGCTCTATATCTTCCAGATATTTTTTCAAGTATTTTTTCCCCTGCTGCTGAGTTATTTAACAGTCAGGCATAGATCAGAAACATGAAGATGGGCTGATGCTGGTCAGAGACAGTGTGGAATGGCCCAGTGACTTTTGGTTGTGTAGGGCAGGGCTCTTGGGCTGTGGTGGGGCTGCACTGGGGCTGTCAGGGACCACCACTCACTCCCTCCCTGTCTCTCTGCCTCCCTCTGATCCCAGGCTGAGCTCTGACACACCTGGGGCTCTCAAGAGCACGAGTCAGTAGAGTAATTAAAATGAGGCATGAGGCAAAGGTGCTGCAAATCCTTTGGACAGCTGTATCTGTGAAAAACAGAGGACTGCTTTCCATGCTTTGTGTGCCTGGCAGGGGCTCTTCCCCATGAGCAGAACTTCCGCTAGGAAATGTAAAAGGGAATTATTTCACATTGTTTCAAGGTGGCCCCTGACTGGGGTCTCTGTTCCTGCTGGGTCAGAGCCACCTTCCCAGGCAGCCGGAGTGGGGAAGCTGCCACTGCCACCAGGAACATGGAGCAGGCAGTGCTGCCAGCACAGGCACAGGAAGGGCTGCCAGCCTGGGGACAAGCAGGGTGGCCAGCCCGGGGACAGGCAGGGTGGCCAACCCAGCCGAGTGCCTTTGTCTGTGGGGGGTTTTCTCATTGTGTCTTCAACGGTGTCAAGAGCAAAGCCCGTCAGTGTTGAAGGCACCCAGATCTCCTCAGTCTCAGTAAGACCGGGTATATTTTTTCCTTGGGCTTCATTCCCAGGAGTTGCTTGCACAGGTGAGGAGGGATGTGGGGCCAGGTCGGCCGCGTGGGGAGAGGATTAATGCAGGAACCAACCTCGTTGCCCTACATTTATTTTCTCACATTAACGAGGAGGAGAAAGGTGCCCAGTTCCTTGAGAGCAAACCCAGGGATGATGACAGCCTGATGCACAGTGACATGTTCAATAGAGCTGTCAGGGTGCTCAGGGATGCTGCTTGGGGGGGTGTTTGCTACCTGCAGAGCAGGTCACTGTGGGGATCCCACATGTCCCACATGTGGGAATTACAGAGAGGCTGCAGGACCAGTGATTTGCAGCAGCGCCTCCAGCACAGGACTGAGGGTGATTAATATTCAGTGCACTGCCATGAAAATGAACAGCCAGACAGGACTGTCCTCCTCCCCTTCCTGCATCCATGAGGACAGCAAGGGGAATGTCTGGAGCACAGGAACAGAGACAAGATTTGCTTTTGGTTGGGCTGATACAGGATTTTGAGACTAAACAAGATGCTTCATTCTCTTTTGCATTATTTAGTGTCTTTCAATCTGTTTCTTCCTTTTTTATGTCATCTTTCTGTTATTTAATTACAGGAAGTTTAAAAAATAATAGTAGGAGGCCTTGTTTGAAGCTATGAGAACCAAACAGGAAGCATTTGCAAAAACAGTTTCTCTTTAAAAAGGGGAAGTGTTCTGGTTTTCATTAAAAAAATTCTTCACATAATTTCTTATCAAAATTCTGGTGAAAAACCCTTTTACTGTTGGCAGGAAAGCTTTTCCCATCCCATGTTCAGCGTGGCAGAAGCAGTGGCAACACTAACAGCACCCAGGATGCTCTGGACAGTGGACAGATGCCCCAGGACTTGGAGGATAAAACTCCCACAGCTGGTGACATCCATCCTCAGTGCTCGTCCTGCCCCACCACTGCTCCTTACCTGGCATCTGCCCTGCCCGGGGATGGCTCCTCCATCTTCCACTGTCTTCCTGGGGCTCCTTTCTTCCCGTGTTGGGTGGAGAAGTTTGGAATAGGCTCAGACCAGCTGATCCTGTGTCCTTCCAGCAGTGGGCTGAGCTGGGGCTAGGTGCTCTCATCCACCAAAGCAGCTGACAACAGAGAAAAGCGGAGCCACAGGCATGGCCAAGGCCACTGTTTGCCTTCAGGGTTTTGGTTCTGCACTGACCTGGGCCAAGGCAAACCCTGGCTGGTGGCCCCAACCCTCAGGTTGTTGTTCTGTTGTGCAACCAGCAGCAGGGAGCTTGGGGTGGCTGCTGCAAAATGATCCCTGTGGGCAAACACAGCTTGGGGTGCTCTGGGCAGGAGAGCTGGCACCACTCGGAGCTCTGCTTGCACAGGCACTACCAGCCCCAAGCCAGGCTCCTGCCACGGGGCTCTGTCACAGGTCCCTGCAACATCCATTCCACCAGCCCTTCCACATATCCCAGCCACTGCAGGGGAACCTAGTGGGCTTAAAGGAACCTCCAGGTGCCCCCAGCCCCAGAAAAAAACCCCATCTCTGCCCTTGCAACCAGGACTTGCAGAGATCTGGGGTGTTCCAGAGTCACCTGTCCTGGCACACTGGGGCCAGGCAGTGCCAGCAACAGGGACATCTCCTGTTGCAGGCACCATTTGTTATTAATGTTGGTGGGTCAGGCTGGTGTGGGTGCTGCCACTGGCTCTGCAGGTCTCACCATGACTGTTGGCTGCTCAGCCCTCGCTCTGTGGCAGCGGAGGTGGGATCCAGCCCAATGGCACAGCAGCACCTGGAAGGGTTTGGTGTTTGGCATTTTGTCTCTAAGGTTACTGAGGGAACATTTACACCTCTCTTTGCAATCATTCACAGCCAGTAAGCCTGGGATGGGAGTTGGCACGTTCCTTAATCCTCCTCCTTCTGTTTCCTTAGGAACTGGAAACCAAAGGTGCCCAACGATGCCTTACGGATTCAATTGCTTGGGCCAAGGCACTGCCACCCCTTCTCTCCTCGCTCTCACAGCCATCAAAGGGCACCCAGAATCTGCTCTTCATCTTTGTGCTCTGAGCACATGCAGCTCACTGGCATCAAGATCCATTTCCTGGAGTCCCCAGCGTGTTGTGTTGGTGTTACTGCAGCCAGAGTGAAAGGCAGGGGGGATGCAACAGGTGCAGCCCAGACATGCCTAATGACCACATCTGCTAATGACCACATCTCCTAATGACCACATCTCCTAATGACCACATCTCCTAATGACCACATCTCAGTAGTGTTGCCACCTCTGTGATTAACTGGCAGGGCGGGGCTGACGTCGGGCTGGTTGGGGTATCAGGGTATCTCTTGCTCACAGGCTGCCATGGTGAGGTAAAGGGAGTGAGGAGCAGCAGGAGAGGCTGGGCCGAGGTTCCAGAGCACTGGTGACACCTCAGTCACCCCATCACCTTGG